CTAACTTCTATAAACCAAAATTTAAAGAAGCAAGAAGAAAGTGGTAGTTTACCAGTTAATAAACAAGGAGAAACTCAAATGAAATATTACACATAAGAAACAAAATGGAAACAAATTTTTGCAAATTTGAAAAGTATAAAAGAAATACACAGTAAAAATGAAGATCATCTAAGAAAACTCATGGAATCAGTGTAGCATGTGACACGAAGTGGTTGCCAATGAGGACTTTTATTAGAAATATATGGCAATTACAGAAGTGTACATAAGAGATTTAAAATTGGTATAAAAGGGAATTTGAGAAAGATTGTTAAAATATACATAAGATCCAGATTTGGAAGTGCAAATAATTGATGGGACAATCATTCGAGCTCATGCTTGTACTGCTGAATACAAAAAAGATTCTGGAGCTCAAGAAGCACTAGGACGCAGCAAAGATGGATTACAACTACTCTTAATCAAAAAAATGATATTACACAGGCTAAAACATTGACTGAAAATGTTCAAACTCTACTTTAGTAGCCGATAAGGGTTGCTATAGCAATGCACTCCTCTAAAAAGAAATCGAAAAGCGCGGAGATACTATTACGAATACGTTTATAAAGAGAGGCATTTTATCGAGTATTTTTTTTGTAAGATAAAACATTTTAGGCGGATTTTTTCTCGACTTGACAAGACTGCAGTAGTTTTCATGAAGTTTTTAACTTCGTTGGTGCTCTCGTATTACTTACCCAGGCAATTTAACTTATAGCTGCAATGAATGCATGCAGATGTTCACTTAGGTGATGCAAGCGAGTCATGTCACAAAGCTCCAGGGTGTGGTGCGGATTATAGAAATATAATATCAAACCAATACTTGATTGAATAGACATATGTTTTGAGATGCCAAGAGTCAGTATATTTTCTCCTGAAATTTCTGCGGAAGGAGAAAGTGCTGAAAATATAAGACAAAGGGTAATAGCAGCAAGAAAAATCAAACTGAGCATTATAATGGCTCCAACGTACATTGCAATGCAGAAATAGATGGCGAGGTATTTAATAAATTTGCTCAACCCGACCAAGCTGGAGTAGAACTTTTAAAGTATGTTTTAAAGGAGCGCCACATACCCAATAGAAGCTACTCGCGGGTATTAAAGGTTGCAAGAAGCATCGCGGATCTTACAAAAAAGGTGAACAAGTAAAGAGAGAACACATGCCGAAGCGCTGAATTATAAAATCAGATCATGTTGAAGAAATAGTTAACATTTGACATGCATTTTCTTTTTACTGTATACTACCATTAATAAATTTTTGATATTTTTTAGGAGTAAGTTTATGACAGCATTTGTGGAAAACGCTAAAAACAAGTACAACGAGTTTTACGATTACGTTAAAGATAATAAGGGAAAAATGGCAGTAGCTGTTGGTAGTACAATTGCAGTATTTTCATTTGCAGCTGCCTACTTGGCATTTCCAGCTTATGGAGTAAAAGTTGCAGCACTGACTGCATCTGCTATTGCAGCTATAAGTGTTGGTTTTGCTTCGGCGTTTACGTTTGCAACAACTAATCCAATAGCGTTTGGCTTATTAGCAATTGCAGCAGTGGGAGCAATTGGTATACTTGCAGTGAAGAGTTACAATCAGGCAAGTCAACTTGGTGAAGTTCGTGATTTATTTGTAGATCGAAATAGTGCGTCTGTGATTCAAGGTGACCCAGAAAAAGTATTAACTCAGATTAAAGAAGTGCTTAATATTGAGGGTCCAGCAAAAGGTCAGGAGAGAGTTTAAGCTTCTTAAGAAGCTAGCTTTCAATGAGGTAAAGGGGTGGAGATCCACCCCTTTTTAAGCAGCTACTTAAAAAGCTGCTGTTAAAAATCCATCGAGTCTTCACACGTTTGTTCTTCGTAAAAGAAATTTAATGTTATTGCAGTACCAAGCTTTGATTCACTTCTAATATCAAAAGTACCACCCATTAATTCCACTAATTTTTTACTTAGTGGCAACCCGATACCTGTTCCTTCATTTCTGTAACCTGAATCCGCCTGACCAAAAACGGACATGACTTTATATATGTCTTGTTGCATTATTCCTATTCCATTATCATGGAACTCAATGGTTAGTAAATTTTCTTCTATATTATCCTTAATGACCATTCTTATTAAACCATTCTTTGGACTGAATTTAATTGCATTTGACAACAGATTGATTATGACTTGTTTCATCCTTCTAGGATCTGCAGTGATTAATAACTGTTTATCAGGCATTTCTTTTTTTAAACTAATTCCCGCCTCCTGTAACTTAGGCAACAACATATTGGAACATGATTCTATTATTCTATTTATG